CCATGAAACAATTAAATAATAAAACCTTGTGTGGGATAAATACCAAAATGAGCATGACCAGACAATAGTGGTTGTGGGAAAAGCAGGAGGAATTAGGGTGGGGATGTGGTCAGGGAAGGTACCCTGGTAGAGGTGGGTGTTGAGCTGGCTCTTGAAAGACAGACAGGATTCAAGAATTTGAAGAGAGAATGGGCAAGAACATTCCAAGCAATGAAGAAGAAAAACTCAAAGCCAAGGAAACTGCAATATACTAGGCATTTTAGGTGGAGACAGTGAGAAAAATCTGCTTGACCAGAACAAGCATTTTGTATAGGAGGCAGCTGGGTGGCTCAGTGGATAGAGCACTGGGCCCAGAGTCAGGAAGACCTGAATTCAAATCCAGCCTCAGGCACTTACTGGCTGTGTGATCCTAGGCAAGCCACTTAACCTCTATCTGCTTTAATCCACTGGAGGAGAAAGTAGCAAACTGCTTCAATATCTTTGCCAAGAAAACCCCATGGACAGTCTTGGCGTGCTGTAGTCCGTGGAGTCACAAAGAGTCGGCCATAACTCAACAATAGTTAGAACAGTAATTCCAAGATAAGCATGGAAAGGGACTATTTGTGAAGGGCTTTGAATGCCAAGATGAGTTTGGATTCCATCCTCTAAGTAGTAGAAAGCTATTGATGGCTATAGGAAGATTACTCTCCTTCCCAGTCCTCTTTCATCCTAGCCAAGTAACCTACCACCTTAGTTGATAGACCTGGAATCAGGAAGAGCTGAGTTCAGATCCAGCATCACACACTTATTAGCTGTGTCCTCATTCTGTAAGATGGGAATAAAAATTGCATCTACCCTGCAGGATTGTTTGTAAGGATCAAACAAAAAAGGTATATGCAAATTGTAGCCATTCTGTGGCTTTTAAAACATTTCTCAGAGCATTGCTGGCCTGAGAAGGGGTTGGTGGTGCCAGGATTGCCTTGCAAGGGGCCTACGGTCACAATGGCACCAAGGATCTTGAGAGTCCCCAGGAAAGTAGACAGGGCAGGCCATGCAAAGAGCTGTCAGAGTTTGTCTTTACTCTGCTCCTTTAGCTGCGCACTGACCCACTCCCTCAGGAATCCATGCCACTTTTCCTCTTCCTTCCCTCTCATTAAAACTGAAAGGGCACATGTCCTTTCACCTGAAGACCCTGACATCTGTTCATAACAGTGAGTTAATCAAATAAACCAATCCCAGCCAATACATTATCCCTCTCAGGTAGCATAGTGACTTAACCCACTTAAAACGTGGGCACTTGAGGGATTTCAGTAGCTTGGTAAGCTGGAGTAGGGGAAGGTTTGGGGTCGGAAGGATCTTTTAGCCTCTTTAAATAACATTTGTTCTGCTCATGCTGACCCTGCCCAGTGATGCCCCGTGAGGTTATGTTTGAGCAGTGGCTTTTGGAGTACTCTAGTGGAGTTTCATCTCCTGAGCATGGAGTTAGTCTAGATGACCCTCAAAGTCCTTTCAAACTCATGAATTCTATGATAGAGCTCTTCTCTCATGCTGGAAGAGTGTCCTCATGAACCATTATGGAGTACATCCGCTATGCCACCTAGCTATTACATACACACAATATGTGTTGTATGTATGATGTGTACACCCATATGTGTATGTATGCATGTATTCACATGTGCATATATGCATCCCTGGTGGAGCTCACATTCTGATGGAAGAGACAACATGTAAATAACTAGGCTCTACAAGACATATGGATAGCTAAGGTAGATATATAGGTATCTATACAGATATCTATACAGGCATACCTCAGACCACTACAATAAAGCAAATATCTCAACAGAGCAAGTCACATGAATTTTTTGGTTTCCCAGTGCATGTAAAAGTTATGTCTCCTGTACTGTTTATGCTGTCGTCTATTAAGTGTATAATAGTATTATGTAAAAAAAATGTACATACCTTAATTAAGACATATTTTATTGCTGAAAATGCTGATCATCATTTAGCATTGAGTGAGTTGTAATCTTTCTTCTGGTGGAGAGTCTTGCCTCAGTATTGATGGCTGCTGACTGATTAGTGGTGATAGTTGGACTGGTTGTGGCAATTTTTAAAAATAAGATAACAATGATGTTTGCAGCATCCATTGACTCTTCCTTTCATTTGAACACTTAGAGGCCATTGTGAGGTTATTAAATGGCCTAATTTCAGTGTTGTTGTGTCTCGGGAAATAGGAAAGCCTGAGGAGAGGGAGAGAGACATTTATCGATTAAGTTTGCCATCTTATATGGGTATGGTTCATGGTTCCCCAAAACAATTACAGTAGTAACATCAAAGATCACTGATTATAGATCACCATAACATGCAGTCTCTTTGAAGGGCAATAAGGCAAAGTGCAATAAAAGGAGGTATGCCTGTATAAGATATATGACACATGTGTCGTATTACCTAGTTAGTTACATGTTGCCTTCTCCATTAGAATGTGAGCTCCATGAGGACAGGAACTATGTTTTTGCCTTTTTTTTCCTATCCTCACTACTTTGCACAATGCCTGACATATAGGAAGTGCTTATCATCTGACAAACTGATCTCCTGCTTAGGTGCTAGATAACAGAGACCAATAAATCCCCATTTGCTCTTTCAGCCCTTGGGGGCCTGATGTTTCAGGTGCTATGACTCTGACTGCGTCGCTTTCTCGAGAGCACCCACCTCTAATCCTTGGTGGATATATGATTATGTCCATCTTTTGACCAAGCAAAAATGGGAGTGTGGGCTTGTCAGCTAGGCCTGATTTAGAGCTTTTTATACATATTATCTCATTTGATTCTCATAACAACTCTAGGAGATAAGTACTATTATTATCCCCATTTTACAGTTGAGGAAACTGAGGCTAAGTGACTTGCCCAGGGTCACAGGGCTAGTCAGTGTCTGAGGCTGGATTTGGACTCAGGCCTTCCTGATTCCAGCCCCAGTGCTGTGTCCACTACTGTACGTTTAGCTTTGGAAGCTTCCAAGAATCACTTTGCCAGCTACATTCTGGGTTGCAAGAGGTAGAAGTAGGGAGGGGGAGAGTAAACGGCTGCTTCTGAGTTACATTAAGAGGAAGGAACCTTCCCCACCACCACATATGAGGAGAAGAGCGTCGGCAATGTTTAGCATCAGTGGCTGTCGCGTGAACATCTGGCATCCATCATTGAGGCCTGTGTCTCTCCTCTGTCATATTTTATCCCCATCTGTTAGTAGTTTCTTAGCAGTGTTTATATAAATCATAGCAGCATCCCAGGCAGGAGAGATGAATCATTATTATAGGCTGCTGTTTAGAAGAGAGAGGGGAGAAAGACTGGGGTTTGGGGGTGGGGAAATCTTCAGTTATTCTTTTCCCATTCTACAAATGTTTCTTTACTAGACTGTGTGTGGTGCTTTGGGCATCTTGGGAGATAATGATCTATTCCATGGAAGTGGAACAGTTCTAGAAGAAAGTCTACATTTTGGCCAATGGTGACCCATTCTTGGTGGGTGACTCTTTATTAGATAGGAAAAGTACCGCACTGGAAACCAGCACATCTGTACTCTTTTTCCGCACTGTACCTCCTCAGTTGACCTCAAGATCTCATAGCTTCTTGCCGCACTCATTCTACCACCACCCTAACCTAGCGTGAGAGTTGCCATGTCTCGTGTGTCCCAAGGCACCTAGAGGAGAAACATTGTTGGCCCATCTGTTTACGAAAACAAAAGCAAAACAAAACCTAGAGCTGGAAGAGAACCTTAGAATCCAGCCTTCTTACTTTACAAATGAGGAAAATAGGACCCATGGCCACAAAGCAAGTTTGATCTGGTGTTTTTGTTTTGTTTTAAACCACTCATGTTATTTTACAATCTCACTTTGTATAGCAAAGTACTATGTAGTAAAGACAGTAGATAAGACCATTTCTAATAAGATACTAATAATTCCAAGGAACTAATTTTAAGTAATGTAAGAATGGGGGGGGAAGGGGGAGGGAGGGGGAGTATATAGACTGGGATTGGAAGAGTTGAGTCTTGAGTTGAACCTTAAAAAGAAGCCTGGAGGAAGGATAGAATTTGGGTGGGAGAAGCATTTTGAAGCCACAATTGATCTCAGAGCTAGAAAGGACCTCAGAGGCTCATCTTGTTCAGTCTCACCTAAACTGATGGGGAAATGAAACTGTTATTGGTTGACAGACTCAGACTCTTCCAAAATAGAAAGTGTCTCTGAATTCACCTTCGTTCACTAGCTTCATTCCTGTAAGATTCTGTTCAAGTACTAGCAAGCTGTCCTTGATCTCCCTAAACTGCTAGGGCAGTCCCTCTTATCCCACATTAGAACGGAAGCTTCCCAAGAGCAAGAGCCATTTTTGCTTTTTCTTTTTATCCCCAATGATTTGCACAGGACCTGGCATTGAGGATAGAATGGTGGACTTGGAAGGCCACCAGGAAAACCTGCATGAGAATCCTGCTTCAGGCACCACAAGCTACGACCCTGGACAAATCATTTAATCACTCTTAGCTTCAATTTCCTCCTTTGTAAAATGAGGTTAATAAAAGCCTAATAAAAACCTGCCACAGGGTTGTTGTAGAGCTTAAATGAGCTAATGTAGGTGAAGTGCTTTGCAAATCTCTTTTCTTTACAAATGCCAGCCATCAGTAGTAGTAGTAGTAGTAGTAGTAGTAGTAGTAGTAGTAGTAGTAGTAGTAGTAGTAGTAATGCTGGTAGTAGTGGTGGTAGTAGTAATGCTGGTAGTAATAGTTGTAATAATAGTAGTAGTGGTAGTAGTTGTGGTGGTGGTAGTAGTAATACTTGTAATAATAGTGGTAGTAGTAATATTAATAGTAGTAGTAATAGTAGTAGTAATAGTAGCTAGCATTTATATAGCTCTTTCAAGTTTGCAAAGCATTTCACATATTATCTTATTTTATCCTAATAGGAATCCTGTAAGTTAGTACTTAATAAACGCTAGCTGACTGATTCTCCACTCTTCTCCTTTGTTCTTCTTGTCTCATTTCAGAAAATTCTACTATATTACGCTGCTGAGAGACCCCGTGTCCCGCTACCTCAGCGAGTGGCGGCATGTTCAGCGTGGGGCCACCTGGAAGACCTCACTGCACATGTGTGATGGGCGGACCCCAACACCTGAGGAGCTGCCCCCATGTTATGAAGGCACAGACTGGTCAGGCTGTACCCTGCAGGAATTCATGGACTGCCCCTACAACCTGGCCAACAACCGCCAGGTAAGGATGCTGGCCGACCTGAGCCTGGTAGGCTGCTACAACATGTCCTTCATCCCTGAGAACAAGCGGGCACAGGTCCTTCTGGAGAGCGCCAAGAAGAACCTTCGGGACATGGCCTTCTTCGGCCTGACGGAGTTCCAGAGGAAGACCCAGTACCTGTTTGAAAGGACTTTCAACCTGAAGTTCATCCGGCCCTTCATGCAGTACAACAGCACCCGGGCCGGCGGTGTGGAGGCGGACAGTGAAACCATCCGGAGGATTGAGGAGCTGAATGACCTAGACGTGCAGCTCTATGACTATGCCAAGGACCTCTTCCAGCAACGGTACCAGTACAAGCGGCAGCTGGAGAGGATGGAGCAGAGGATTAAAAATCGAGAGGAAAGACTTCTCCACCGGTCCAACGAGGCCCTTCCCAAGGAAGAGGCAGAGGAGCAGGGACGTTTGCCCACTGAAGACTACATGAGCCATATTATAGAGAAGTGGTAGCCCAGGGGAGCCTTTTCTACTTGACAGCACCCAAGAATTCTCATGGGGGTGGGGGGGGATCATATGGTTGTGTGACAGAAACCCACAAAACTTTATTTAAAAAATCCCAAGTCTGTTTAACAGAAAGTAGATGTGTCTGAAAAATACACAACAGGGGGGAGGGAGTGGGGAAGTGTGGCTTTTTACTGTTTCTACAAGGCCAGACATTCTTTAAAAATAAATAAAGGAAAATTTTAAATGGGTCACAGCCAACTTGTACTTAACACAGAACCACCAAGTTAGCTCCCCCCACCTGAGGTCCAGGACTGCACAAATGCTTTGTGCCCCAAGCTCAGAAGAGGGTCACATTCTTTTGCATCTGTGCTCTGAGCTTCCAGGCCAATGGGAAAGAAGGCAGTGGTAGCTTTTAGAAAAGAACAAGAAGGTCAAGGGGACAGATTGGCTTGGCTATCAGTCCATCATCTAACCACAGAAAGCAGCAGTGCTCAGGTTCATATCGCCACAAAGGAAAACAGTAAAATAAAGACGTCTAAGGGAGGGCTTCAAACTCAAGGGGGAATACAGGAGTTTTGAAGTCGTCTAGGATATACCCCATGCTAAGGGGCCCTGATCCCTTAACCCGTCAACTAAGAGGTCATCTTCAGAGCACAGGAAAGAGAAACCAAATTTGATTCCATGTAGAATTGGCGGTATTTATTCGCACATACAGACACACACATACACACATCATCCCTTCCCTTCTCTAGGTACACTCCATGTAGCCTTAAAAAAGGTCAAAACACCAGTGTTTTGTTCTGATTTGTTTTACTACATCAGGCAGATTCTTCCCACAGAGTATGGCAACCATCACACCCAAAAGCCTGAAGAGACTATCTGGACCCAGACAGAAACCATCACCCATGCCTTTATCACCTGTGAGCATCTGAAGTGTTTATGAGGGCAGATACCTTTCTTTATTCAGGAATTACTTTTTTTTGAATTACCTTAAGAAGTTTTTTTTTTCCACCCTGCAGTTGCCCTCTTTTAGACTATCCCTAGCTTTCAAAGTTTTCCTGAAGATTAAACAGCCTCCTTACTTAGAGAGTAACACAATGGGAAAGCCACAGGAAAAAGGAAAATGACAAGCATTGGGTCTTTGGCTTGAGTCCTGCTGGTCCCAAGTGCCGTTTCAAATCATTTTTCCCCCAAGGAGGAGTCAGATTTCATTCTCCTGCTTAATATCAGAATCTCTAACTGGAGTTGATGCCTATCAGTAGGGGACCAGCAATAGATTCCTGCCCATTTCCAGCTATCTTATTTCACATTCTCCAAACTACTTGGGTATCTTTGCTGCTTTACTCAGCACTTATGTATTGACATGGAAATTATTTGGGGGGGGGGTAATTTAAGTATTAGACTTTATTAATCACTCCCCGGAACTTGAACTGTTACATAGAGTAGAGAGTGATCAGAGGAACGCAGTTGTATGTTCCAAAGTTGTGAGCATGCCTGTGATATAAGAAAGAGGGGCCCTCGGAGTTAGGCCCACTGAGGTATTTTTACCCAGCAGCTCTCTACCCCTCCAAGGCCAGCCGTGTCCTGCTTTTGTGTCTCTGCCTTTATCCCCGGAATCAGTGGCTTCAGAGGGTATCATCAGAGGGTGTCCGACTGGCCTAACTGGAATCTCCATCCAGCATCTCCAGTCAACCAGTTACGTGGAACCTGTTAGCCACTGGAGATGTCACTGCCTGAATGGACAGCACAGAGCAGGAATAAGGCCAGCATCCTGCACAGGACCAAAGCATCCCCTGTGTATGCGGAACACTCTGGAAAAGACTTATGGAAACCCTCCTAAACTTCCCTCATGTTTGGAAATTTGCTAAAGGATTCAGGATGTGACCCCAGTCAAAAACTCTGCCCCAAGCCTCAAACTCCAGTTATTTTCACATTGCTTATTTGTCTTATAGCCTCCACAGATAAATGGAGTTGAAACCTCAGTTAACAAAAATAAAAAATTTCTAAAACCTCAGTTAACTACAACTCAGATATAGAATCCTCAATTAACCAGAATTGTTTTGCGGGATGGGGAGGAAGGGAAGGGCAATGGTTGCCATTCAGCTTTAGATGAAAGAAATGCAAGCTGCAAGGAAAGATGCTGGTGTGAAGGACCTAGTCAAGAAAATCATTTCCAAGGGCTATCCTGAGCACATTCTGAATTCAGCCCAATTCCCCTACACCACCACTCTCGATATCAGGCAATTAGAGTGGATGTTCAGGACAGTATCCTTGAGGCCCTACGAGACCCTCAGTCAGGAAAGAAGGATTCCATTAAGTCATCCACACACCTCTGAATGAGGCAGGAAAAGGAGGGGACTCGTGTTTTAGAAAGTGTTACACCAACTCAGGTTGGTACTGAAAAGAGGTGTATGGCTAACTCTTGTTGCTCAGTTCAACTAACCAGAAACTCCAGAGGCTTTTACTCTTGGCCTCTAGAAATCCCTCTGCCTGTTTTAAAGGGCAGTCCTTCCATTGGTCAGACACCTCCCATACAGATTCCTGTGTGATCTGTGGCCCCCGGTGTGTGTCTTTGCTTTCTGATGAATGCTATTTTAGAGCCACTTTTCCCATCCATTAAACCTTTTCATAGTTATCCCCACCCACCTTTCCAATCCACTGGCCAAGCCCTCAAGGCATCATTACTACTCAAATCTTCCCTCTCCTCCCCGGTTATCTTCTTGTCTTCTTCCTTCTTATTGCTTCCTTTCACTCTCCTCTCTACTTCCTCTCTCCCTCTTTTCCTTTTTCCTTTCTTCTCCCCCATACCACACTGTTTCCAGATCACCATTCGCCATTGTTTCTCTCCCTGTCTTTTTCATTTCTTTCCCACCCCCATCTTTCTTTTCCTCTATTTTCTTTGTGCAGCCATTCTTCAACTTCCTTTTATCTCCCTCTCCCCAGATTTCCTAGCCTGGTACCCAGTCTGTTTCACACTAGAAAGTGAAGTGTTGGAAAGGAGTGTTTCTGAAGAAAAGGGATTCTCAGTCCTGGGGCGTTTCAGGGTGGCCTCACTGAACGCTCTATAGAATGACCTAGTGTCAGAATCCAAAACCAGGCTCCACCCCCACCCTCTCCCCCAGCAACCCTGGGAGACTGATTAGGTAATCTGTTGTAATCTGAACTTAACTCAAGTGGGTGTCCTCTTACCTCTCTCAGCCTGAGATGCCACCTCCATTTTCTAGCAAAACCCACCATCGGGACATTCCAGTCCTTCAACCAAACGATCCGGAAATGCCCTCAGTGTCACAGTGGCATCAGCAGCTCTGAAGAATCCCTAGGCCCCTCCCATTTTGCAAAAGCTTCCCAACACTAGACAAGGCTTTGAATGTTCTTGCTCTCTAGGTATGTGCCAAGCAAGCTGCCTCTTCACCCCTTCTTTCCTGGAAGAAGTTTCCAGGCAGAGTTTCCAGAACAGGTTGTGACAACAGCCTGTGGAGTGGAATAAAAATACTATAGCTATATTTAGCTATTCCAGGTGCTTTCACATCTATTAAGTGATCCTCATGACACTCCTGTGAAGTTGGTATGTTTATCTTCCTTTGATAGAGGATACAGTTGAGGGAAGCCTAGAGAGCTTTAAGTGACTGGCCCAGGGTCACACAGTGAGTCAGAGACAGAACCTCACCAAGAGAGCTCCTGAGAGGGAGACTGAGTACAAGCTTCTGTCTCAAGGTGGTGTTAGGACCTTTCTTAGCCTAGGATATATAGGTTTAAAAAAAAATCACTGCAGAGAAAGAGGAAGCTTTTTTGTCCCCCCTTAGTTTGATTTCTTGCTTTAGTATAGCATGTCCTGGTGTCAGGGCTTTATTTCCTTATACATAAGGGACTGAAGAGGAATCAAGCACCAGATGGGATGGGTTGCTAGCTTGTATGCCATGGCAGAGAGTAGTCAGCTCATTGGGAGGCTTGCCTTCCTGACCCATTTCTGCCAACCTAATTAAAAATGCACATCATAAGCTGGGTGCATCACACAGACAGAGATGATTGGGTGGGTGTTGGTTACATGCTTGGGGGAATGCAGATTATGTGCTTGGGGGTGCATGTCATATGCAAGAAATTAAGGTGATTCTGTGGGTGAATTTAGTAGAGTTGGCCCTTTTAAATGGCAAACCAGTAATCAGTGGTTTAGCTTTGAAAATCTTAATGGAGAATTTCTCTAATCAAAATGATCAGCTGTGGTTTGGAAGAGTGACAGGGATCTCTCACCAAGATTAGTGTGGGCAGTAGAGCCCACTCATACTTCACTTGGTGTTACTCCCACATTCAGGAAGGGACTTTTCATTTACCAGGCACACTGGCCCAAGTACGATGTGGAAGGATGCAACTGAATTCTTCTCTTGCAATTTGCTTTACACCAAGCCTGGCACTCCCTCGGAGGACTGAATCAAGAGACCTGTACTCTGAAAGGCTGATCTTTGAAAATAGTGCTGGGAGCACGTGATTTGTTTTGTACATATTGAAATATGTTTTAACTTATTTTTAATTGCCCCAGTTCCCCTCAAAGTGATGATTTTCCTGTTTCTTCGTTTGCATTTGAAAGTTTGTTGTTGGTTTGTTTTTTTTTTAAAAAAGTCTCTTATTCTTTCCATTACCAATACTTCGGGTGCCCGTGAGGCAGAGCAAACCCGCAGCTGCCAATGACCGTCCTCGAATGTTCAGATCATGCTGTTGGCTTTTGATTGAAGGCATCACTTGTACTGCCTTTCATTTCAGCATCATCTTGGAAACATAAGGAATGATCCAATGGGGAAGGGGAGTTCCCCCTTAGAGTTGCCCTTTCTGATGACTTTATCTGCCAGGGAACTCATGGGGGGAGGAGGGGTGTTGCTGAGAGGGCAAACTCAAAAATCCAGTAAATTAAAAAATCAGTCCCTGGCCCAGCCCCAACCTAGGCCCAGCAGACCCAGCTGCTCCCCTGGAGCTAAGAAAAAGGAAAGCCAGGGTTTTCTGAGCAATGAGTCTGTGACATTTTCAGTTTAACTTGAGCCCAGTAACATTTAAAGCTTTTATTTATTTATAGCTTCTTAACAAAAGAAAAAGAAAAAAAAGAAAAAGATGTGTTCATTGAGAAGGAATTGTTTGGTTATTCGTATAAGAAAATGGTTCGACAACAAAAAAAAATAATCTTCTAATTGTTTTTGTCTAGGTCAAGAATGAATGTTAGCAAATGAAATAAATCTTCAAATTGAGCCCTGTTTGCAGTGTCATCTGTCATTCCTACTCTGTCATTCATAGTTGAAATGCTGTGGAACTCAGACTGCTCTGCCAGCAACGTGCAACGTTTTTGTTGTGTTATTGTTCATTTGTTTCAGTCATGTCCAACTCTTCACGGCCCCAGTTGGGGTTTTCTTGGCAAAAATACTAGAGTGGCTTGCTATTTCCTTCTCCAGCTCATTTTACAGATGAGGAAACTGAGGCAGTTGGGGTTAAGTGACTTGCCTAGGATCACACAGCTGGTAAGTATCATGTGTCTGAGGCCTCAGATTTGAACTGGGGTCCTCCCGCACTATCCAACTGTGCCACCTAGCTGCCCCCCTAAGACCAGCATTCTTAAGGCTGTGTCTTTTGGCGTATGGTTCTGGCCAGCTGTCAACACCTGCACAGTGATATCCAGACTGAGACCTGGGGTCCAAACAGATAGTTTTCCCCTTAAGTGTAACAGAGAATTTAGCACTTTCCCATTAAATGCCACAATTTCAAGATTAAAGGCTGAAGCATGGTAGTGATGAATCATTAATTAATATATTCAACACTCTCTGTTTTCCCTGCCCCCCCCTCTACCCCATTGACTTCTGGTAGTAGATGTAAGGGTCTGGCTCCTCAAAGCACTGCTAAAGCTTAACTTAAAGAACTTGCTAGTATGTGCTTTTAGAATCTCTTAAAGAGGCAGCTAGGGGGCACAGTAGATAAAGCACTGGCCCTGGAGTCAGGATGATCTGAGTTCAAATCCAGCCTCAGACATTTGACACTTACTGGCTGTGTGACCCTGGACAAGTCACTTAACTCTACTGCCTAGCCAAGAAAAAGAATCTCTTAAAGTTGTGTATCTAATTCTCTCAACCAATCCCAACACATTTCTATCACCTGATTTTTCCAGTGACTCAGAGCGCTTCAGTCACTACCAACTTGATTGGCTAGGTTGTTTTCTCCCACTTTATGCTTTTGAATTCTTGTCTTGTTGATTCTGTTACTCAAAGAAGCATTCTCACCTGATAAAGGTGAGGGCACATCAGGGCGTAGAACATCTTTGTTAGCTGTGTTAATTGGGTTTGGGGAGTATGAAAATCCCTTTTACACTCTCCCCCATGCCCAGCTTAACACTTATCATCTTCCAGCAAATCCATTGGAATGCATTTGGCAAAGTCCCAAATCAATCAGTCAATATTTATTAAGCCCCTACTATGTTCTGGAAAGCTCTCTAGTGTCTACACATTTTCAGTTTTGAATGTCATCTCCAGTCCCTCAAACAAAAGAGTCTCAAGAAAAATTGTTGTGGCACAGCTTATAAAGAGTTTGGGAAATTAATATTTGTCCGTATTTCAAATACATGCTGACACAGTTTAACAAACAAAACATCAAAGGTCTTCCCCATCCTAACAGCAAAGAAAATCAAGCCTCCCATCTCAAAAGAACAAGACTTTCTCTCTGAGAAGGGAGATTTTATTTTCTTACTGATCACCCCCTCACCCTTAGGTTAGAAAATCAAAGAGTCCCAGGTGAAAAGTCTTCCATGATTTCCTTTAACATACGGAGAAATGGACAAAACATCTCTGGGTGTCCATTTTGTACACAGAGAACTCCAAATATCCCCAGGAAACCTTTTTACTCGTAAGGCAATCCCACTGGAGTATCAGGCATAAATCTCTTCTGGGTCTTTGGTAGGTCACCTGAAATTTCTCCCAGTGGAGCCTTACCAATCCAAAGGAAGGTTCTAATTCTCCCCTCACATAGGTTAACTTGAAAACAAACTCAACAAAACATTCCGAGAGGCTGTACCTCCCACAAAGGAATTCAGTACCTAGAAGTGATTGCTTAAGGTTTCTAGGCCCACAGGAAAAAAAAGATAAAAAAAACCTTGTCCTGTGGACAGACAGTCCGTATGGCTTTCTGGACTCATGTCAATAAATGAAGCAACAGTCTAAGATGGCTTAAAAGGAAAAAAATAGACATTTATGAACTGTCATAATGGGTGGCACTAGTATTTTAAGGATGTAAAATCTGTACAGATTTTAGCTTTCATATTCTTAAGGATAAGATTGTACAGCATATCTCTACATTAACCAGTAAAGATTGCCACCATGAAACTAGCTTTCCTTGTAAGTAAGCAATAGAAAATAGGCTGTCCAATTAGAAAAAGAAAATTTGCTAGTTTTTTTTTCTAATGGAGCCTAAAAACTAGGGTTTCCAATAATTCTAGTGCTGGGTAGCAGATTTCCAGTGGATCACCACAAATTCAAAGAGTCCAGTGCTTACCATAGGCAAGGCCCCTTCAGAAATAATAGAGGGATATCCCTTATTCTCAAAATAAGAATAAAGAGATGAATCCACTATTAAGACAAAATAGAAGCCAGGTAAGAGCAGGCCAGGCTCCATCTACATTCCAGTAAGTAACAGGGTCACTATTACTATGAGACTGAAAACTTATAACTTTGGAATTCTCTTATTTGTTCTCTTCATCCTAGGTTTCCTAACAGTTACCATTCAATTCAATCCAATTCAATGAATATTTGTTAAATGCCTTTTTGAATAACCTGAAGAAAGAAAAAGCAATTTTTTAAAACTGCCTCCACTTCTGAACGGTTCCATTCAACTCCTCAGAAATATTTTTACATTTGGACACAATAAATTCAGTCTTTAAAGTGTCTGAGAAAATTGGGTTTTTCATCTCCCAAATTATAATTTTAAATTACAGAAGTAATAATAGTAACAGCTAACATTTATATAGCACTTTAAAGCTGGCAAAAAGCTTTATGTATATTATCTCAGATGATCCTCCCAACAATCAATAATAATTACATATCACTTTACAATTTATAAAGCATTTTAACGTCTATTAATCTCATGTGCTATCTCCCTGCCCTGCCCCTCCAAATTCTTTTATCCTCAAACAACAAATGGAGAAACTGGAGTTCAGAAAGTTAGGCTTCCCTCCCCCCCCAAGACAGCAAGTTTGCCCCATGTCAGACAGTGACAGAAATGTGGCACTCCAGCCCTGATCTTCTTGACTCTAAATCCAGTGCCAATACTCTCTAAACCCAAGCTAGTTTGTCCCTGTGCTTTTCAAGTGATGAAAGCTAGAGAAAGGGTGTGTGTGCCATATTGAAGAATTCTGGAGGACCATTGATCATAGAAAACATCTGTGGCAATATCTGCCTGCGCAGGGATGGTGCTACTTTGCAACTAGATGCTAAAAGCCAGAGTTCTATGTTCAGTCCCCCAATGGGTCAGTTCACTCTTCCAGCAGATCGAATGCCTAATTCTAGGGGTCTCCTAAGTCTCAGACCTTTGATCATGAGACAGATCATGCCAGAGTTAAATGGCTTAGCTAAAAGTGCATCCTAAGATTGGAAAGGACATTCCCTACTTAGACTGAGAAATGTCCCCTTCTCATACAAAGAATTACCTTATGATTATTTGCAAAAGCCAATGTGGGCAAAATTGTGGCATCAGAGAAGTTTGCCTCCTTCTGGTACCTTCTGATTTTCTCACTTTCAGTTTACTGTGAACTAATTTTAACAAAAACCTTAGCTGATAATAGATGATAGGATTTTGAGCTGGAAGAGACCTTAATGATCGTCTAATCCAATTTCCTCCTTTCATAGGGAGGAAACAAGCATTTATTTAAAAACTTACTATGTACCAGGCACTGTACTAATGAGCACTTTACGAATATCATCTCATTTTATCCTCAGAACAACCCTGGGAGGTATGTGCTATTATTATCCCCCTTTTACAGTTGAGAAAACTGAGGCAGACCTTGGTCAAGATCACACAGCTAAGAAGTGTCTGAGGGCAGGATTTGAACTGAGGCCTTCCTGACCCCAGATACAGTGCTCTCTACACTGTCACCTAGCTGCCTCATAATGAGATGTTCATTCTCAGGTGTGGCCAATGTGTTTGTTTTACTTACCTGCATTTCTTTGTTACAAGGGAAGATTCTTTTGAAGAGAAAGGACTCATTGGGAAATAAGAGTGATGAAGGGGGGGAAAGCATTGATAAAAACAGTTTTTTAAATTCATAGTTTCAGGACAACTATTCATAACAGAAATATTTGGAATGAATGGAGGGTTTCTCAGAACCTCCTCAAATCAAAGCATTATAATAGTAGCTGACAATTTCCAGTATTTTAAGTTTAATTTTCTCTTTTGTTCCTCATGACCATCCTGTGAGATAAAGAACATTATTATCCCCATTTTATATATGGGCAAACTGAGGTTTAGGCTGGATAACTTGGCCAGGGTCCTAGGACACAAAGCTATTATAAGCACTGAAATTGGGCTTCAAATCCAGGTCTCTTTTGACTCTACATCCCATGTACCTCCCACTCCACCACACATAAAGGTGGCTTTACCCATCACCAATACCCACACAAAGACCATAGTCATTTCCAAGAAAATATTACTTGAAATGATGAAGAAATCACTCCCTGGACAGCCAGGAGCAGCTACAGCCACTGAATTCCCAAAGCCCCGTCCCTAGAGTGTTTTCTTCTTTACCTGTTGCCGACTTTAAGCACAACTTTATTTTTTTGAGATGTAATCTTTTTTTTTTTGCTCTTAGCATTTTTTCCAATTAGATGTAAAGATAAGTTTTCAACATTCATTTTTGTAAGATTGTGAGTTGCAAATTTTTCTCCTTCCTTCCTTCCCTCCCCCCTCCCCAAGACAGCAAGCAATCTAACATAGGCCATACATGTGCAATCATGTTAAACATATTTCCACGTTAGCCATGTTGTAAACACAACTTTAAATAACAAAGTCAAGTTCCGCTCAACAAGGGAATTGTTTTGTCACAGGAACCATCTCACTTTTCCAAAGGGTCAGTTCAGGCCATTGCCCCCTTTCACTCTGTTAAAGGAGATTTTTGCCTGAATTATCCATTTCCTCCTCTACCTCAGTTCTCAAGAACTACTTGACAGCTTTGAAAAAATATACTAAGTGTCCCAAAAGTCTTAGTGTAGTTTAAAGC